TTTCTGTTGTCACTAAGAGACATAAGACAGGTTTTAATTTTTTTCTTGCCAGTCTCATGAGTAATGTTTAGTTTGCATTTTGCTTATACTTGAAGTTGAGCATTTTCTGATATGTGTAAGGACTGTATGTATTTCTTATGAGCTACCCTTCCAGGCTCATTTTCTATAGAGTTTGTTTTTCCCTCCTTTTCCTCTGTTATTTGATATTCTTCCCCTATTGTGGTATTATGTATCTGTGGATGATGCTGCAGAAGTGCTCAGTCTGTCCTTTTTCCTTGTGCTGTTTCTCCTCATGTAAAAGTTTTTCAAATAAGGGGAAATAATCAGTTTGCTTTTGTTGCACTAATAGTTCGACTCAAATTTAGAAAGCCTTTCTTGGCACCCATGTTTTATCCTACACTTTAGGTTTGTTTTGTTTTTACTTTTTTTGAATTTCTGGTGTGATTGGAAATTATCCATATATAGATGAAATTTTACATTTATATTTTTCCAAATTCCTGTAAAATTGTTAGTCTTGTTCTATTCCATCAGTCAGTCTATTTATAACAGTCTAATTGCAGACCTTTAGTGGTTATTATTTTGTTATCTCATTGAAGAAGCTCTTCTTCACCACTCAGTTTTGCAAATATTCTTGTGTTTGCTTCTTCATGAGAGCTTTAATGACATTTTGTGTAGCTCCAGACAAAAGCATTTTTATTGAGTTTTTGATGTCCAGTGTGGTTACCAAGAAAAGGGGTATTGGAGTATTCTATTTTTCAGGAATTGTTATTTTATTTCACACAGGCTTTTGAATGCTTAAGTTTGTTTTTAAATATTTGTTTTCATGGATTTTGCATAGGATTTTTCTTTACTACTTCTAGTTATTTATTATTTGTGGATATGAAGACCATTGTGTGTTAGTATGTTAGTTGTTTTTACCATTGATAACTGTATGACTGTGTTTCTAGAAACTCTCACAGCATCAGCAAACAGATAGTTTTACTTCGGCCCTTAGTTGCTTCACTTGTATTGGCTGATTAGTAACCATTGAGATTGTGGGCAGTGTGACGTTTAAGATCAATATCATTACTATTGTGCAGATGTATATATCTTGCATTGGTTGTATCTGCTGTCTCTACTGCCCTGTCTTACTTTCCCTTCTCATTCCTTCCTGGCTCTCAGGCTCCTTCCCCTTCCCTGTGTCCCTCTAATACTTTCCTTCTTTGTGGTGCTGAGGCCAATTCCATAACTTGGGTATTCTGGGTAGTGCCTCCATAAGCATGAGTTTACTCCAAAAGCCTGACTTTACTTCTGGCATCATTGTATTAAACAGAATAACCAGACACAGAAAGGCAAACATTTTATCTCACTGTGTTTCCTTACTAAGTCAGGTATGATACTGGATTTTTTTTTTTTTTTTTAATCAGTAATTCTATGGCAGCTTGACTTGAGAAATGGGCGTTAAATGGCCTTACCTCTCCCTCCTGAACTAGATAGACTCTGGCTGAAAGACACGAGGTGAGATCTGTCTGGTAGGTACCAGGAGTTGCAGTTTTTCTTTCTTTTTTTTTTTTTTCCCAGTTCTGTTCCACTAGCATCTTTCCTTGCCTCCTTGTCATACTAACATTGTTTTTCTGAGGACCCATTAGCTCATTTGAAGTGAAGAGCATGCTGTCCTAACCCTGCAGTCAACTGCCTTACTTCCCTTTTTCCTTAGTTTCTCACCTGTGCCTATCCTCTTCCCTGTGGCATGTGGAATTATTATACATGCTTGAAGTAACAGTTGGTTTTCTCTCTCCTCTCTTTAGGTACATGGCTTCTTCCTAGTCCCAGCCCAGAAGAATAAACCCTTAGACTGGGGAAGTGAGCCAGGCAAGCCAAAGGCAGCCTTGAGCCCTCCCCTTGCCTGCCCTCCCCTGTGGGGGCCAGGATGCTGAAGAAGCAGTCTGCAGGGCTTGTGCTTTGGGGTGCTATCCTCTTTGTGGGCTGGAATGCCCTGCTGCTCCTCTTCTTCTGGACACGCCCAGCCCCTGGCAGGCCCCCCTCAGATAGGGCTATCTCTGATGCCCCTGCCAGCCTCACCCGTGAGGTGTTCCGCCTGGCTGAGGACGCTGAGGTGGAGTTGGAGCGGCAGCGGGGGCTGTTGCAGCAAATCAGGGAGCATCATGCTTTGTGGAGACAGAGGTGGAAAGTGCCCACCGTGGCCCCTCCAGCCTGGCCCCGTGTGCCTGCGACCCCCTCACCAGCCGTGATCCCCATCCTGGTCATTGCCTGTGACCGCAGCACTGTCCGGCGCTGCTTGGATAAGTTGTTGCACTATCGGCCCTCAGCTGAGCATTTCCCCATCATTGTCAGCCGTCTCTGCGGGCACGAGGAGACAGCACAGGTCATTGCTTCCTATGGCAGTGCAGTCACACACATCCGGCAGCCAGACCTGAGTAACATCGCTGTGCCCCCAGACCACCGCAAGTTCCAGGGTTACTACAAGATCGCCAGGCACTACCGCTGGGCACTGGGCCAGATCTTCAACAAGTTCAAGTTCCCAGCAGCTGTGGTAGTGGAGGACGATCTGGAGGTGGCACCAGACTTCTTTGAGTACTTCCAGGCCACCTACCCACTGCTGAGAACAGACCCCTCCCTTTGGTGTGTGTCTGCTTGGAATGACAATGGCAAGGAGCAGATGGTAGACTCAAGCAAACCTGAGCTGCTCTATCGAACAGACTTTTTTCCTGGCCTTGGCTGGCTGCTGATGGCTGAGCTGTGGACAGAGCTGGAGCCCAAGTGGCCCAAGGCCTTCTGGGATGACTGGATGCGCAGACCTGAGCAGCGGAAGGGGCGGGCCTGTATTCGTCCAGAAATTTCAAGAACGATGACCTTTGGCCGTAAGGGTGTGAGCCATGGGCAGTTCTTTGATCAGCATCTTAAGTTCATCAAGCTGAACCAGCAGTTCGTGTCTTTCACCCAGTTGGATTTGTCATACTTGCAGCGGGAGGCTTATGACCGGGATTTCCTTGCCCGTGTCTATAGTGCCCCCCTGCTACAGGTGGAGAAAGTGAGGACCAATGATCAGAAGGAGCTGGGGGAGGTGCGGGTACAGTACACTAGCAGAGACAGCTTCAAGGCCTTTGCTAAGGCCCTGGGTGTCATGGATGACCTCAAGTCTGGTGTCCCCAGAGCTGGCTACCGGGGCGTTGTCACTTTCCAGTTCAGGGGTCGACGTGTCCACCTGGCACCCCCACAAACCTGGGAAGGCTATGATCCTAGCTGGAATTAGCAGCACCTGCCTTTCCCTGCTGGATCTGCTTGTCATATCATGAGCTGAGACAGGCCTGCAGTCCCTGAGCTGTACCATCCTGTCCCTGTTTCCCTCTTGGGTCTATATATCTCCTATTTCTGTGCCCCCCTCCCTCCCTGTGGCATTCTAGTGCATAAATCATGATGAGGGTTATACTCCTGTTGTCCAGGGAGTCATCAGGAGAACTATTGTGTGGTGTAGTTGGGGGTATTGAACAAGAAACCACTGTGTGGTATGGGGAGGCTTGGGCTTGTTGGGGCCAAGGAGTCCTGAGTTCTCTGGAAGGGCATCGCAGAGAGCTTGGCAACTCGAGCTCTCTTGACCAAGCCTGTTGACCCTAACCTGGCTCCTGTTAAATGTGAGCTCACCTTGTGCACCTGTTCTTCCATTCTCCACCTTCCCCCAGTGTGGGGCTGGGATATGGAAGAAGGATTGGGTTTGTGGCCAAATGAGACTAACCAAAGGGGTTTCACTGTCAGGATCAGATTGGAGTTGTTGAGGTGCCAGGGTTCAGGGCCTCCTGACGTCTTTTATTGCTGACTCTCTCAGTGCTCTTCTACAATGGAGCAGTTTGTGGCTGTGAGATGGGAAGTGCTCGAGCCAGGTGTCAGGAAGATGTCGGGAGGAAAGCTAGTACGTGGGCACCCCTCCTTTTTGGAAGTCAGTTCCCTCCTTCTTTAGGAGGATTTGGTGCCAGCCTAGAGGAAGATGAGGACTGACTTCTGTGCCTCTTTTCCCCTGGGGTTTGGTGAGGAGGCTCCTCTCTGAGGGCTGGCTTTTGGTGGCTGTCTCAGAGCAAAGTACACCAATAGCTGAGACCAGGACATCTCTGGCCCCAAAGCAGCTCCTGCCCTGCCTTCCTCACCCTCCCCCCACCCCCACCAAGATGCAGGTAGCTGGTTGGAGAGAAATCTGTGTGTTTTTGTTTGTTGCCTGACCTTAGTTTCATGGAAGAAAATGGAATCTACAGAATTATTTTCAAAAATAAAGTAAAGGCTGAATTGTCTGAAAAATATGTGTCTGTGTCCTAGGAAAGGAGGTTAAAAAGTGGGGCGGGGGCCAGGGAGGATAACAAAGGGAGAAAGTACAGGGAAAGAGAAAAATAGGATGGATGGGACCTGGGGGAGAGCAAGGGAGAGTTAAGGATGGGGCCAAGTGGGGTAGCTAGGCTAGCTTGTGGGGAGGGCCCCAGGCAGCATGACTGCTGTTAATCTTCAAGTGGGTCTGGGAGTGGTCTGCAAAAAACTTGGTGTCTACACCCTCCTAGGGGCTGTTTTGTGCTGTATGCCCTTTGCTCACTCAGACACCATCTACTGGGCACCTCAGCAAGATGCCCATGAGTTCAGGGTTTGCAGTGGAAATTGACTTCAGAATAAGACCATTTATACTGACAACCAGAGCATGTCTGTCCCACCCTCAGTGTTTACTGGAACTTCACCCATATCACAACCAGCACACTCTGAGAAGGTTTATACCCTCCTAACTAATGGTGTGTATGTGTGTGTGTGCATGGGTGCGTGCGTATGCATGTTCATGTGTGTGCAGGTACACATGCCTTTCTATGAGTCCAAAGATCAGCCTCATATCATTCCTCAGCATACTGTCCATATTTTTGAGACAGGGTCTCTTACTGTCAGAGAACTTACCCATTGTGCTAGACTGGCTGGCCAGTGAGCCCCAGGGATCCACCATTCCACCTCCCCAGTACTGCCACAACTGACCCTTTTTACATGGCTTCCGGGAGTTGAACTCAGGTCCTCTTGTGCAGCAAGTAATTTATTAGCTGAGCTGCCTCCCAGTCCAAATTTTTTACCAAGTGGTTCTTGAAAACCCTGGGTCTGACTATATGACAATCAAATTTGAATCCGGCCAATAGTGGAAGAGATCACTGGGTAAGTTCTGTCCAGAAGGGAAGATGTGGGTGATTAGTAACCTTGGTTTGGGCTCAGGAGTGCAGACAAATGGCATCTGTTTCACTCATCTTAAACTTTTACATTGTGGCCTTGGTTGTGTCTCTCCTTGAGGTTTTTAGATGGACTATTTAACATCAATTTTGATTTTGAAAGGAGCTAGTCCATTGTTTGTAGCTACAGACACAGGGCTGGGAGAGGAAACACGTCATCCCTGACCACTGAGTGGGGTGTAGTTTGTCTGGACTTCATGCCCTCAGCACTTAATGTATTTAGCAGTCACTGGCCAAATGCTTTGTTCTGAGCACTGCCAGTATTGTGTTGCTGCTGTTTCACCAGTGGAGAAGCAGGCACAATAGAGCTGAACTTGATCGGGGATGGTTGGGGCAGACCCAGGATTTGAATGGAATGTATGCTGTAAACAACAGCTAATGGACCGTTCCATTCTATCCTTTAGTGGCCTCTTCGGCACCCCTCCCCAGCCTCATTTGGCCCCTAGACAGCAGGTGATGCTGGTGGTCTCCTGCCCTGGATGGTTGGGTGGGTTAGAGTGAGTCCAGGAAACACAGGACAGGAAGAGGAGGATGGGGGGGACTTGAGGTCTGCTACAGCTGTACAGAGACTTAAGATCAGCCTGGCTTTTCAGGGTTTTCCTTGAAATGAGTAGTACTTTTTTGAGGTCTCTTTATATTCTGTTTGCTTTTGACATAAGCCCCCCAAGAGTCAGCTTGCTGCTTGTCAAGGCGCCCTTGGGGTTCATGTGTGCATGGTTGACTAGGAACCCCAATGCTCTTGTGGAGAACGAGTGTGTGTGCCCGTTGGGAGACACTGCTGTCACATGCTGTAGAGTTCTGTCACCTTTCAGCTTAGAGATTCTTGAGGTCACCTCTCCCTCAGTGCTTTGCTGTGGTTCTGCTTTGGTCTCTCATCAGCACCCCTTGGTCCACCCACTGCCATTCCTTGTTTACACCCATTCACTCTGAGAGCTTCAGGACCGCTGTCTTTGCCTTCCGTATGGCCTAGCCCTCTTCTCTAGGTAACACTGATATCTCATTTGTGGAGTGAGCCACCCCAGTGTAGACAGATGTATTGGATGTAGTCTCTGTGGCAAGGCCCCTGAGTCTTCAGTAGACTTTCCCATCTCATCCCCATGTAATCCTGTCGGGTGGGTTGCCAGAACTGAACCTCTTAGGGACGACCAGGAGGGTGGGAGTGAGAGGGTAATTACAGCACGTGATGGAAAACCTTACTTGAAGAATGTCTTCTCCCCTCATTACATATTTATTTTAGGAAGTCAAAACAGATTGCAATAATATCCATGCTTTTTTGCCAGATTCATATTGTGGTGCAGGATCCTACCAGACTTCTTTCTCACACAGAGTGTTTATTTATCAACGAATTCATAAAGTTCTGCAAATACTTAGCTTATATAAGTTTATATAACTAATAAGTTTATATAACATACGTTTACCCTCATTTTTAACAAATATGGGTCTCAGGCTTCCAGGTGGGAATTTTGTTGTGGCAAGTGGCTTGCCACTCCAGGGGTCCTGGCCCTGTTTCCTACCTAACACTCTTGGCTAGCCAGGACAAATTGTAGGGAGTTTATGGTTGGAAGCAGAGGTTAGAGGCCCTTTCAGGTAAGGGATCAAGTTCCTGAAGCTATGGTAGCACAGACTACCCCAGTGATGGGCCTGAGTTGAACCCTGCATGGGCCCACTGTGTGTCTCACTCTGGAGCAAACCTTGGAACCGACCAGAGCTTTGTCCTATGAGATTAGGACAGTAGTACCTTCTGGAAGGTTATGAAGATGAAGTAATGTGTGGAAGCAACATGAAGACAGTCCTCTGGAAATCTGTTTCTTGCTTTCATTTCCCAGCGCTCACCCTGGTTCCCCCACTTACAGGCCCTCATACCTTCACATGAATCTAAAGGAAGCTGCGTGGCCGGCTCAGAGGCTCTGTGTGTGTGTGTGTGTGTGTGTGTGTGTGTGTGTGTGTGTGTGTGTGTGTGTGTGTGTGTGTGTGTTTAATTGTAAATACCCTAGAGGATTATGCTCATCCTAGAAGCCAAGCTGGTGCGCTTTGCTCCGCTGCCTCCCCTCGCTCACTTGAAATCTGGCTCTTTCTAGTAAAAACTGTAAAGGACTCAGAACTAGAGCTGCATACAGCAGGGGAATTGGATCTAAAGAAATGAGAGATAGGGGCTGTCGAGATGGCTGATCAGTTAAGAGCATACACTACACATGCAGAAGACCCACGTTCAGTTCCTAGTGCCTACATCAGGCAACTCACAAACACAGGTAGCTCCAGTTCCCAGGGCATCTGACCTCATATGCTTCCTGGGGCACCTGCAAGACTCAGTTACAGACACATACAACTAAAACAAATGTCAAAAAAAAAAAAAAAAGTGATGTTGGGTTGGCTTGGTGGCTTCTGATGTCATCAGGGCCTCAGATACTTGTATGTTGGTCTCACCCTCCTTAGCATGAGGCTTCCATTCGAGGTGTCGCTTCCAGCCATCACCCAGGTTAGGCTGGCAGAGGAGGGCCGTCTTCCATTTCCGGGAACCTGAAGTCCATGCCTGATCACAGGTTCATGGCCACAAACAGAGCACACATTCATGCTCCTGGCAAAGGAGACTCGAAAGTAACTTGCCAGCTAAACTGACTTGTAGTTAAACTAGAATTCCTATTAGGGAAAGGTGTGAGAGAAAGGGAGTGAGGTGTGAGGCCATCCATGCTGTGACACCTGCAAGACTGAAACTATTAACAGTGGCCGGGGGTTCTTGGAGAAGGAAGGAGAATGGTGGTGTTGTGGGAGTGTTTTAAGACTCCTGACCTGAAAGAAAAAAAAAAAAAAAAAAAAGAATCCTGACCTTTGAAGGAACGAATTTAGCTTCCTGAAACCCTTACTGGGTTCCATGAGAACTGTGCTATCATGGTGAGGCCTTCCCAGGGTCACACAAGAGTAGTATTCATATGTTTTACATTATTGCTATGTTTGTTTTTCAAGACAGGTTTTCTCTGAGTAGCCCTGGCTGTCCTGGAACTCTATAGACCAGGCTGGCTTCAAGCTCAGAGATCTGCTGGCCTCTTCCTCCTGAGTGCTGGGTTTAAAGGTGTGTGCCACCACTGCCCAGCTAAGAGTAGTATTCTTAAAGACCACCCACATCTATAGAAATGCTGATTGACTGGCACACATAGATGGGCGTATCTTCCACATACAGCTCTAGGCTTACCATCCAAGATAGATCTAGGCATCAGGAAGGAGTAAAGGGGAAAGGAGGGCAAACCATTATTCACAGACCGATGCCAGTGCTCACACACATGTACACACACTGCATTCATTAGAACTTAGCCCCGGTCTCTTAGTTGCAGGAAAAGTGGGAAATGGAGCCTCAGCTTGACCACAGTGTGTTCAGCTAAAACTTTTACTTAGCACAGGCACAGGCAGGGGAGGAAGGTTAATGGGCAGGCAGAATTCATGAGTATGGAGATAATGGCACCTTTGGTCAAATACCTCTTGGGAATGCAATTATATTTCAAGGTTTCTATTTAAGAAAAAAGGAAGAACCCAGGCCCTGGGGTGAATGGTGAGAACCCACCAAGACCCTTCAAACCTCCCCAGAGGAAACCACCAATTAACGCACACCGTGGGAACAGCTGCCTCCACCCTGTTTGAAGCAGAACCGGAAGTCAGGCTGAGTATATACAAAGCTAGGTTATTGAAGGTACATTAATTAGTCCCTTTATGTCACCGTATCAAAATAATAGACACAGATGGTCTCTGAAGTAGAGGTTTATTTTGGCTCATGATTTGGAAGGTTCAGGTCTGAGATGGGCCATTCTGCTATCTGACTGCCAGGATTCATGTCAGGGTAAGGGCTCACATCTCCAGCTAGGAAGCAGACAGATGAGACAGGCCAGGGTCCAACGACTCACTGGGGAGCACACCTCCAAGTGACTGTAGATCTCCCACAGACTGCATCACTGCCCAGACACCCCCTTGGGGACTAAGCCTTTTACAAAGGGCTTCTGGAGGGATTTCCAAATTGAGCTACAACAACAATGAAGCTTGTGTGACTTCTTGGTTTGCTTAGAG